GGGTGATGGAGTGGGTCCCATCAGGATGGGTAGCAGGCAGTTTGGGTGAGGGCACCGTGCTCCATGCCAGGGATACAGACAAGCCTTGGGGATGGGATGTGAGTGCTTTCAGCCCAGTTCTTGGACTGGTGTGCTCCTCTGTGACAAGACTGAAAAGGAATAAAATAAAAGCTCTGGAAATACTATTGGGTTGTCCAAACAGAAAAGGCAGCTGGCTCCGTGGAGCACAGAGCTCCCTTCTGCCTCAGTTTCCCCTGTGGATGATGGGGGATAGGGATCCCCCTTTCTCCCCTCCCCACATCCTCAGCTCAGAGTGTGATGGGGGCAGGACTGGCTGTGCCTGGCTCTGGGGTGGGATCCCCTGGGATCATACTGGTTTAAGCTGGCTCGTGGCGCTCACTGGCTCCTCACACAGTGTCACGTCTCTGGCAAAACCCAAGCGGGAAGGGGTTTATGGCTGCAGGTGGGAAGCTGAGATGGGGTTCACGTTCCTCTGCACTCAGAGCCAGCACCGAGGGTGAGCAGCTCGCGGGTGTTTTCCATTCCCTAACCCTTCCCTGGCTGCCTCAGCGCCTGGGCTCGGGCACCTGACACACGAGGCTCTTCTCCAGGGGAGATTTGCCTGTAGGTTTAATGACCAAAGCAGCAGCTGTGCTCAAAACAGGGCTTAGTTCTTGTTTTTCCTCTTGTTTCTTTTAAACACCTGGCTGGGACAGAGGTCAGCTGCCTTTTCAGTTGCATTTCTTACTTGGGAGTGAGTGCAACTTGTTCTTCCCAGCCTGGCCCAGTCTCTGTCCATCTGTGCTGGTGAAGCTGTGTGTCCTGGTCCACAGGGGCTTTGCTCCCTGGTTCAAGCAGTGTGAGATGCTGAGGGATGGATGCAGAGCCCAGGCCACACCTGGGAAGAAGGGACAGGTATTTGGGATGAGTATGTCTGCATGGAAGGGATGCAGGCCACCACCTCCTCCTCCTCCTCTTGCCTCCTTCCCTTACTGTGTGCTGGGATCCCTGTGCTGGGATGACCAAAGTGACATGAACACCCTCCCTGATCAAGCACTGAGCTGAACCCACGTGTCCTCACATCCCTGGAGTGCTTTGGGCTGGGGACTGCTTTATTCAAGGTGGCCTTTAAGCACCTTCCACATGTCCCCATGGCAGCCACACTCATGGAACACCTTTCCAGGTGTTTCCAGATGTTTGCTGCAGATGGAAATGATGGAGCAGGCACGTTTTGTCCCTGCCCCAAGTGCAGTCGGGTGCGAAGGAAGCACATCATGCAGCATCTTGGCAACGTGAGCGCGGGATCCATGCATTACAAAGCAACATACTTTTTCCCTTTGCTCACTTTTCCCCTTTGCTCACTTCCCTCTCCAGACCTTTGCTCTCAGCCAAGTGTTTCTCCCAGGCTCGTGGTGACGTTCTCCCAGATCTCTGGCTCTTCTGCTGGGTGTTCTCCCTGGGGTGGAGGGAGCTGCAGCCCAGGGATGGGATGGGCAGGAGCCTGTCCCTGACTCCCAGGGAGGTTTGGGGGAAGCTGAGATTCATTTTTCCACCCAACACCAGTTGCAACAGCCTGTAGAGTGGGAGAGCTGTGGGTCCCCAAAGGGCAGCACAGCACCATCCCACCATGGTCTCAGGGGAATGGCTCCATCCCAAACCACCAGCCATCATTTTTGGGGACCCTTGAGCTCCTCTTGTGAACCCTCTTGGGTTCAGTGGCCCCTTTCCACGACACTAGTGGCCGTTGATGGAGAACATGGTTGGCTCGCGAGGCTTTGCTGCCAAACGCCTGAGATTTGATGTTTTGTGTAGAGCACACACTGCTCTGACCAAGTGGCCGCAGGGGCAGCTCAGGTTTCCTGTTGCTTTTCTGAAATTGAATTTTTTTTAGCTCTCCAAAGGGAGTTTTAAGTTCTGACTGTCAGAAAGAACCACTGCGCCGTAAATCATCTGTGTTTGTACAGCGCCCAGCACAGCAGAGGCTCAGCTTGGGATGGGGTGGCTGATGCTGGGGTAACACAAAGGATAAGCATCTCCTCTGGCTAAGGAACCATTTTAAGTTGCTATTCCTGAGGAGCCCAGGCTGTGGTGTGAGGAAGATGAGCTTGGTTTGAGGACAGCCCTTTGCTCAGCTGTGTTTGAGGAGCCTCCTGCATTGCTTTGCTCTGTAAAATTCCCTTTCTTGAAACCCCTGGGGGTTGGGACCACCAGCTCTTGGCATGTTGTGATGTCCCCTGGGGTTGTCCCCTCCATGTTGCACCTTTACAGGGGGACATGGAGATGCTACAGGAGCCTGAGCTGCAAGTGGTGGGGGAGGCTGTGGTGTTGGAAATCAATGTGATGAGGTTCAGGGTGGGACATTCTGCCAGGGGAAGGGGATTCTTGTTTTAACTGCACCTGATACGAGCCATGCACACGCATGAGCACCGTGATGTGGTGCACGAGGGGTCTGGCTGGGATGGATGGGGAGGATGAGGGATGCAGGTGCTCACTGTCTCATTTTCCAGCTGGAGATGATGGAGTCAATGGGATTTTTTTTTGCTCTGCTGCCTCTTGTCCATATTTGCTCATTTGGAGTGTCTACATGGCTGCTGTCAGGTCCCTGCTGGGATGGCCAGAGTGACCAGGGCATGGCTGGGTGTCAAAACCTCACTGTGCCTGATGGGTTGGTAGGACACAGCTTTGGGACTTGCTGTGGACCACATTCCTTTGTGTTTACCCACTTGCTGACTGTCCCTCATGTTGCCTTTGGTTGAGACAGGCCGTTCTCGCAGGCCTGGCTCCATCTCCCAGTGCTTTCACGCTCAAACATTTCCTCTCCTACCTCCGCCAGACCAAAATGGTATTTTTGTTACAAACCTCTGCAGAACAAATGGGCTGTGGCTGGGAAAGGGGGTAAACCAAAGGGATGGGGGACCAGGGATGGCCGGGATGCTGTTAGCCCACAGCATGGGCACTGAAACTGGGATTGCCCCAAGCCAACAAGAGCTGTGAGAGCAGGTTTGCTCCATGACCACCCTCCATCATCCCTTTCACCTGCAAAAGTGAGGCCAAATTTTGCTCCAGACATAGAATAAACCAAGTTCATGGTGCCCAGAGCCGCGCTCAAGGCTGCAGCCTGTTGCGTCTTAAAAATTAAAAAGGACGTCTTTGAAGGTGGATTCGAAACTTGGACGGGGAAAGAAATTCCTGCAGGAAGAAAATTCAACAAACAAAGTCCCTTGGCTGAGAGAGCAGAACTTATACTCACCAGATTTGCTGAAGGTTTTCGTGTTTCCCAGCAATGGGAGCTGTGTTAGCAGCTCCACAGGTTGGACAAGGTCTAGGATATGAAATATTTTCATACCTGGCATTGCAGGGTGGATTTTGTGCAAGCAATTGCCCCATTTGGTGCCTCAGTTTCCCCCTTTTAGCGCCCACCTGAATACCTATTTGTTAGGAGAGGAAAAAAAACCCCATGAAACATGTCCCCATGGATTTAAACCCTTTTGACTAGTTTTTAAAGCAATTGGCATGAATCTCCAAACACCGTATTCTTTCCTTATTGATTCTGATCCTTCTCCAGCTGGCAAACACATGTCTTCACCTCGACTCTTTGTTTAAACGGTGTGAAATACCGATGTGGTTTCTCTTCATTCCTTTTCCCAGCTTGTGCTTGAGGTACCTGCTGGTTTTTAGGCATCTGAGTGCCCCAGCTCGCTGCAGGGTGAAGGCTTTGCCCTGGGACCATCCTGCTCCCAGCAGTCAGTGAGCAGCACCAGCAATATTCTGGTTTTAGAGTAAGGAGAAAGGCACCGTGTTGGGAATAAATATAAGGGTTGTGGGGAGCTGAGGGCAAAGTGAGGGAGTGCAGCTGGTGGGAGCTTTAGGGGAGGTTTTGATTTTGGCTGTTGGAAGCCACCATCAGCCAAGTGTGGGAGTGCAGGATTGGACCCTCCTGGGTGGCTGCCAGCCTCCGGTTGGGCTTGGACTGGGTTTTCAATGAGCCAAAGTAGCTCAGGTTTCCTGACCCCCACTGCAGATTGAGCTTGGCTGGAGAAAGGATTGCTTCTGGGGAAGGAGAGAACCTCCTGAATCCCACATCCCAGGGATGCTGGGATGAGGATGACTGTAGGAGGAAGATCCCCGCAGCTGCTGTGCCCCCCAGGGCTCCTCGCTTAAACCTGGGCTGTGTCTGAGAGCTGTGAACATGCAACAGGTCT